AACAAAATCTGCATTTGAACATGCCTTACAACTGCTCTAACATATGCTTTCTTAAAATTAATTTATAGGTTGCTCTTATAACTTTTAAAGTTTGACTTCTTGTGTTCATCATCCATCCATCCATCCATCCATCCATTATCTTTACCCGCTTTTTCCTTTTGGGGTCACAGGGGTCACTGGTGCCCATGTCCAGCTATTGTGTTAATCAACTACTGGTAATTATCTCTGTTTTAAATAAACAATTTAGTTACTTAAGAATTAGAGGTGAACAGACTGATCCATCTGATGACTTTATTAGGCAGATTTTTGTCATCTTTGAAATAATTTACTTAGCCCACAGTGGTTAGAATGTAGGGACAGGTGGAATGGTTCTTTTTTCTGTTCATTTTCAGCTGCTCCCTTCGGCAGGGGTCGCCCCAGTGAGCAAAATCGCATAAAGGACTTTGCGATTGCTTTTTACTGAGGTAATCCAGGCTTAAACCTGAAGTCTCAGGATTATGAGACCTGAGCACTGGCCTAAGAGCTACTGTAGCTCTGACTAGAATGTAAAGCTCCCATCCATCCATCATCTTTTACCAGCTTCTTCTTTTTCGGGTCACAGGGGTCACCAGTGCCCTTATCTAGCAGTCACAGTTTGAGAGGTAGAGAAAAGCTTGGACAGGTCTCCAATCCATCACAGGGACAAAGAGACAAACAACCATTCACTCACTCACACCTAGAGACAATTCAGAGTTACCAATCAGCCTAACATGCATGTTTTTGATCTGCGGGAGGAAACTGTAGAACCTGGAGAAAACCCATGCGTGCATGGAAAGAACATGCAAATTCCATCCAGAAAGGGCCCGGGCTGGGATTCAATTCAGAGACCTTCTCACTGAGAGGCAGCAGCTATACCAACTGTGCCACCATGCCACATAGAATATAATACTAATTATTAATAATAATAATAATACAATCTCAATGATCTTTAATTTTATTTTTATTAAACTTATATATGTCCATACACAGAAACATAAAGAAAATGTTACTTTTAGAGAGAAAATATGTACAACTTTATGCCAGGATCTGTATTAATAGCAAACTTCATGTAAACTGCAGCGCAGATAGAAATGTGTATTGTTTTGGATCAGGCCTCTAGGGCTGCTTTTGCAGTAACTTATGTCTTTCTAATGTGCATTAGTATTAAACTGCTGTTTATGAGCCAAAACATATATTGTCGTCTTCTTCTTCTTCTTTCAGCTTTTCCCTCTTCAGGGGTCGCCACAGTGAGTCATCCTCCTCCATCTCACTCTGTCCTCTGCATCCTCTGTCCTCACTCCAACTACCTTCATGTCCTCTCTAACTGCATCCATATATCTTCTCTTTGGCCTTCCTCTTTGTCTTTTTCCTGGCAGCTGCATTTCTAACATCCTTCTACCAGTATACCCACTGTCCCTCCTCTGGACATGTCCAAACCATCTCAGTCTGGTCTCTCTAACTTTATCTCCCAGTTGTTCAACCTGTGCTGTACCTCTGATGATCCCATTCCTAATCTTATCCAGCCTCGTCACTCCTAAGGAGAACCTCAACATCTTCATTTCTGCCACTTCCAGTTCTTTCTCCTGTCTTTTTGTCAATGCCACTGTCTTCAGACCATACAATATAGCTGGTCTCACCACTATCTTGTAAACTTTTCCTTTGACCTTTGCTGACACCTTTTTGTCACAAATCACTCCTGAAACTTTTCTCCATCCACTCCATCCTGCCTGGACTATCTTTTTCACTTCTTTACCACATTCTCCATTTTCTTGGACAATGGACCCCAAGTACTTGAAGTCCTGCACCTTTGTGACCTCTGCTCCTTGTAGTCTCACTGTTCCACCGGCCTCTCTCTCATTCACACACATGCACTCTCTCTTATTACGGCTGACTTTCATTCCTCTTCTTTCAAGTGCATACCTTCACTTCTCCAAGTTCTCTTCCACCTGTTCCCTGTTCTCACCACAGATCACAATGTCATCTGCAAACATCATAGTTCACAGGGAATCCTTCCTGACCTCATCTGTTAGTCGGTCCATCACCAGAGCAAACAAGAAGGGGCTCAGAGACGATCCTTGATGCACTCCCACCTCCACCTTGAAGCTATCTGTCACTCCTACAGCACATTTCACTACTGTCCTGCTGTCCTCATACATGTCCTGTACCAGTCTAACATACTTTTCTGCCACTCCAGATTTCCTCATGCAATACCACAACTCCCCCCTCGGCACTCTGTCCTATGCTTTTTCAAAATCTACAAAAAAACAATGGAGTTCTTTCTGACCCTCTCTGTACTTCTCCATCAGCATTCTCAAAGCAAAGATGGCATCTGTGGTGCTCTTTCTTGGCATGAAACTAGGAATGTGCGATATAAACGGTATACGGTAGAAACGATAGAAATTTAGCCTACGATAGAGATCTGTCTTCTACCGGCTAACCGCAGTAATGCTGTGTCTGAAGTAAAATCAGAGTTGTCAATTTAATTGTTACTTTTTTTTTGTTGAAAACTGTGCGTAAGTGGTGTTAAAGTGTAAAATCAGAGCTGTCAGATTTAATCGTTACCATTTTTGGGTTGAAAACTGTGCGTAAGTGGCGTTAAAGTCTTTTCTTCGAGAGCTAAGTAGCAAAGCTACAAGCTAACTACGGCTGGCTTGCCGTAGTGTTGTTGTATTCTGACACATGTGCAAAATGCTGTGTTCCGTCTAAAGTTATTATTATTTTTTTTCCATTGAAAGTTAAAGTAAGCGTTGGTCAGCTTTAGAGCAACCTGCTCTCTGATCTGTGAAAAGAACGCTGTGTTGTGTGATTTTACTGCGAGACCCTCTGGTCAAAGCCACAGAGTCATTTTGTGTCAGCTCTCCATTAAAGCAGAAGGAGGCGCCCACTAGAGGGTTGGAGGGTGAAGTGTTTTCAGTTGCTGCTCTCTTGCTGTTCATTTCTTAAGTGAGAAGACTGGAAACTGTTGTGTTAACAACATATTATTTTGTTCAAAACATATGGCTAAAACTACATTTGATATCTTTTGCACCGTTTTGCACTACAAGGAAGTTTATTATTTAAAAACTCTCTGGACCTAGTAGTGGAATTTTTTTAATTCAAAATATATGATGGCAAAAGGAAACCCTATGCTTTTTTTTTATATTCCTATTGCAAGTTTTATACCAAAAACGTATACCATACCATACCATTTTATTTATTTATTGAGCACTTAAAACAGCGACAAGGCCAACCAAAGTGCTGTACAGACAGAAAAACAGGTAACACACAAAGCAATATACAAAAGGAGGTAAATCAGAATATAGACATAAAAATGATGCAGATAATAAATATGACGACTAACCAGTGTGGAGCGTACAGGTTCAAAACACAGATCATCTGGTGTTGAAAGTTACTGAATAGTAGTGGGTTTTTAAACGGGACTTGAAAACCGAGAGGGAGGGGGCCTGTCTGACAAGCAGAGGTAACTCGTTCCAAAGTCTTGGTCCTGCTACAGAAAAGGCCCCGTCACCTCTGTGCTTAAGACGAGTTCCTGGAACTGTGAGGAGCAACTGGTCCGCTGACCTCAGGGAACGTGGTGGAAATTGAACAATGGATGTCCCTTTTTCGATCACTTTTAGAACTGACAAATAAAAACCCTAATAGATCAACTTCTATAAAAATACCAATAAAGAAAAGTCAAATACTTCATATTTTTGTCCATGACAAATTTTGGAAAGCTATGCTGCATTTAATGAGAATTTAGATAGCAGAAGTGTTTAAAGCAGAACTGATCTAACCTGCTCAAAACAACTGAAAAGTCCTGATTTCTCTAAACACAATGCATCATTGACAAGGTGATAAGGAGAAAATGCAACAAAGTGAAAGGCATAAAACTTAATAAAGAGGACTAAATCAAAGGAAAATCTTTTAATGACTCAAGTTGATTTTCTAATTCACTACTGGACAACATTTGGGCTGTGACCTTGTTGGGAAGAGGCTATTCTCTCAGTGTGAAAAGGCTTTGACTCGTTACTTATCACATTTTAATCACCTTGCATGATGCAATGTTTGTTCTACTATGTAGTCTCATTACGGGAACAGCTGTTCTGAATATGGCAGGGTTAACAAAAGGCAATACACCTTCAGGTGACAGAGGTCCAGAAAGCCTGTACATCATCCATCACTCAAATTATAAATCAATATCTTGAAAATGTAAGCAATGATTACCGGGAATACCTCGCCGGCCCAGCGAGACAAGGATGCAAAGGGAGAAAGATGAGGGGAGTGTTCAGTGACCCATATCCCTCCCTCCTTACTTTTGATTTTGCTTGATATTACCTTTACTTTTGCATCAGTCCAACTCAGTCACCCGCTGTTGCAGCTACACAACAATTTGTAGAAAACAGACAACAATAACAAATGCACTCATCTTTGCAACATCTGAGCCTGTTTGAAAATCACAGATGTGAGAAAACGTAGATGTTGCTGAAAGCTTCACCAGGCCTATCACAGCTGGTTTCTCATAGACAACCTTACCCCTCTAATTCAGCCGCCCACCAGCCAGCTGCTGTCCTCCCAGCTAATCAGAAGTAGCTATGGAGGCAGTGACCTATGCAGACCAGACCAACCAGTAACATGGTCAACATTGGTGTTTTTATGTAAACATTTCACAAAAACCTCCATTCTACAAGGACATGCCTGTTCCCTTATACCTGCAAAGTTTCTATTCACCTGGAGTGCAACTGGGATGACTGGTTCCATGTGTGCTGTGGCTCAGTTAAATGGGTCAGCTAAGTTCATCTCTATTCAACACATTCATTGAAACTGTGGCTACTGGCACATTCTCCATTCAGCTACACAAAAAACACTGCACCAGTGCAGCTGCCCAATTACTCTGCAGAGGACTAAGTTATTTGACAAACAAGGAAAAAAGCACATGGATGGACTGTTCCACGTATAAACACTAGAGGTTGGTGACAGTGTTGACAGATGGCGGCCCTTACGTATCTGCTGATGATGTTCCGGAGCAGGCTGAAATCCATCCTTCATTCGGCTCCGGCGGACATTAAAACTGCGCGAGAGAGATGTTCAGCTCTCTGGGTCTTCGGAAGCGCTACCTGAAGGAGGTCTTCCCATCAGTATCCATCGCTTACTGCCACCGCCGCCGTGTGTGTGATGAAGCGATGAGCAGCGCTCTCCCAGTCACTCCGCCGCTGTGATTTTCATGGCATCCCTGGAGGAAGAGCCATTACGACGAGCTTTGCTCTCGCGCTGCTGGCGACATTTTACGGAGAATTCCCCACCGCTCACGAAACACCGAAGTTCCGGTTCGTCGTGTGGCTAATTCACCGTCGGAAAAACAAAACGTTTTATTTTCTTGCTCCCTCACGAGAGAAGCGTCTTCGTGGTGTCTGTGTCCGTGCGCAGCTCAACGGCAACAGAGCCGCCCCGAGGCGTCCACCGCGCGCGCGTCAAATGACTGAGCTGCGCATGCGCACTGACGTTGCTAGCGAACCCATGCATCAAACGCAGAAATAGTGGAGTAAAATCAAACTGGCTTCAGTAGACCACATGTTGCTCATGTCAGCAACAACAATAATAATACTGAACCTTAATTAAAGCGAAAGTTCAGAATTCAAAATTTCAATACACTTAAAATGACTTTAAACTAAATTGGAATTGCCGACTAACAGGAAAGATGCAAACTTCAAATTAAGCAAATCCCTCTTTAATTGCACTATTCTATCTGAATCCAAACGCACATTGCTTGCAGCTTTAATTGCATTTAACAAAAATAAAACATGTTTCAAACTGTAATCTGCCCCCTCCTCCCCCATGTACCTGCTCTTTTTCCTTTTTCTTTAATTGTGTCAAAGACAAAAAAAAAAAGTCATGTCATTTGTACAAACACATTGACTTTTATGTGTGCTACTGGTAGTACAAATACCCTGTTTTTTGTTGTTGTTGTTTTTTCAGTGCCAGCCTGTATGCCTGTTGCATTATCCCAGCAGCTTTTAATAGTAGGAAGATCATTTCAAATTACACTATAATGAGACATGCTTACACTTAAAAACTGGAGAACCTTCACATACTAAAATCAGATGAAGAAAGCTGTTTATATTTGATTTAATTGTTGTTGGGTTTTTTTTTTGTTGCACATTTTGCAAAAGCTTGTTACTAGTGCACAATATGGGCAATATTAAGGAATCCTCAACATGTAAACCACTTGTGAAGCACTTACAGTTTAAATGCCCTAATCTAGAAAGTAAGCAGCTTTTATTTAAAAATAAAGATGAAAACTAGATTGCAAACAGAAAAGAATTGTCAAGGTACTTTCTCTCACCGTTCCAAGTGACGCACAGCTTTCAACGTTTGACAGTTATTTTGCCCACAATATGTTTAACCTTTGAGTAGTCACACATGCACACAGACACACACACACACACACAGACACACACACACACACCATCACACACAGTAGCGCTGACGTACTGTAAAACACACACTGGCATTACAACGTTCAAGATTTCTACCATGTTGCAGGTTTCATGATCTCACTTTGTAACAACTTTTTGTAAAATGTTTAAAATAGCATTAAAAATACATTTTTGGAAGTGTTTTTTTAATTTTATTTGTAAAATTAATGCAAACGCTTATAAACTATGTGAACCCTAAGCTACTTTTGGAAGAGTTACTGCATGGGCTCACTTTTTCAGTACTCAAATATGCTGTTTTAAAGAAAAACAAGAGGGAGATCTTCGAACACAAGTATCATTTTATGTGTATAAACGGATAATCAAACAGGCGCACAAGTCAAATAAACTGTAAAAGTTAAATGGACTGTATTTATATAGCACCTTTCTTTCTAATCAAGATACTCAAAGAGCTTTACAGCAAAACCTGTGCCCTCATTTATCTCCACACACACATTCATGCAGCACTCTACATACATCTACAAATATAATCTGTAGAGAATAATCAGAGCTTTATCACATTCATACATGGGACAAACATCGGAGGCAATGAGGGGTTCAGTGTCTTGCTCAGTTACACTGCAACATGATTTTTGGTAGAATCGAACCACCAACTCTCTCTTTATTAACCACGTATCCACGGCTACCCCAGTCAAAGTATATTAAAACACTGATGTTGAATTTACATTAAAAGAAATCAATAAATCATAAATTATGCAGATCAATGATTAATGCCAACTTGTTATTATTTTGTATTAAAACTGCTGATTAAAGTTCCTAAAGAGCGATCATGCTGAGTTTTATAAGTTAGATATAGTTGAAGTAAAAAATGAAAACCTGTTCTTACAGTTAGTTGCATGCTCTGACAGCAGCTCAGTTAAAAGTGATGTCTGCTCCAGACATTTCATTTGCAGTGTTAAGACTTTCAATTAGGCCAGACTCTATTAATAATGTATGGCGATCCAGTGCTTTCACTGACCTGTTAATCCTTGATGCGGCTGTTTCGCTTCCACAAAACCCCAGGGTGGGATACTGAGGACTGAGACGTCTCAGTGGATGAACTACAAGATGTTCTTTGCTTATCAGCCGGGGCTAATTATAGATGTTAATGTTGCACTGCACATGGCATGGTATTATTAAAACGTATAAAATGAGATTCTTAAGCCCATGAACAATTCAACAGAATGGTTTCTAAGTTTGAGTTTATTAAAGCAATTTAAAACATTTCTTAACATTCTAGATCAACTTTTTGTTTTTAACCCTCATTGTTTTTATAAGCAGGGAGAAATGGCTGCTCAGTTTCCAGCACATTGTTTCCTCAGCTGTTGCTGAAATTATCTAATTCCATGTGAGCCGAGGAACTGGGTCAACGTTTCTTCTTTGCTTCTGTCTTCTGGGTGGGTAAGGATGAGGTCGTGTAGTGCACATCTGGGGCAGTTGGTTGTTTGCCTCATTTTCCCATCAGACACACTTGGGATCTATTATTTGCAAATGTGGACACTGTGTTTCAATTGTTTCATGTCCATGTTTTACAAATTTGTGCTTTCCTGTTGTCAAGATGTGTCAAAATAACTTGAAGTACATGCAGCTGATCACATTTTAAATGGGCCAACATGAATAAAGAGAATTATTAAAAAATGAGGCAATCATTCTTTAGCAATCAGTTTACATGAGCTTGATAGTTGTAAGGTCATCGTGTTCTGTCAAGGTCACTGTTTTTGTGATAATGTTTAAAAATCCCAATATCACTGCCACTTTCATCATTTGATTGATAGCACATTCAGTTTGGTTCTGACAAGGCTTTAAATGTAAAACATTGGTCTTCATCTACAGAACAGAAGTCCAGTTGTTTTTGCTTTTATTCTTGTTTGGATTTAACATGTCCTGGATGACGGAGAATCTTCACCAGCCTAAAACCTCGGTCCACAAATAGATTACACACAGAAAGTACCTTTTACAATTTGCATGAAATTCAAAGAACTGTGTCATATAAGGCTGAAATAGTTACAAATGGGCCAGTAAAGATTGGAGTATGATATCTTATTTAACTTTAGTCACATTGACACTTGACCCAACTCTGGATGAAATTGAACAATTCTTATTTAGCTGTCTTTTTATAATGTGACATCATAGCAAGGTGTTTTTGCACTATTAAGTGTTTAGCATATTTCTTAGTTCATGTCTTATATGTTATTACTATTTATTTTTTTTATTTTTTACAATTAATAATTTTGTTTGATGTAACTGGTACCCTGTGTGCACAATTTCGTTCCACAGCATGTACCACATGTACATATGACAATAAAGAACCTTGACCTTTGATCAATTGTTGCAGATTTATAGTCTAAAAATATTAAAGGCCTAGCATTTTTTGAAGGCGCAGGTCATTTTGGCCTCACATTTTTCATGCTAGAGTTTCATGAAAATTCAATTCAGTTCATCCATCCATCCATTTTCTTTACCCGTTTATTCCATTTTTGGGTCACGGGGGTCGCTGGTGCCCATGTCCAGCAATCACTGTGCGAGGGGCGGGGTACACCCTGGACGGGTCGCAAGTCCATCACAGGGACACATAGAGACAAACGAGACAAACAACCATTCACTCTCTCACTCACACCTAGAGACAATTTAGAGTTACCAATCAGCCTAACATGCATGTTTTTGGTCTGTGGGAGGAAACCGGAGTACCCGGAGAAAACCCACGCATGCACGGAGAGAACATGCAAACTCCACCCAGAAAGGCCCCTGGACCGGTTTGAACCAAGGACCTGCTCGCTGAGAGGCAGCAGCTCTACCAGTTGCGCCACCATGCTGCCCAATTCAGTTCAGTTCAATTCAATTCAAAAATACTTTATTAATCCCAGCAGGACATTAAATGTTGTAATGGTTTCATTAAAGAGTTGTTCTAGATGCTGATGGCTGTGGGCAGGAAGGATCTCTTGTCTGTCTTACAGCGGATCTGAAGAAGCCTCTGACTGAAGACACTCTGTTGTTGTATGACAGTCTGATGAGGGTTGTCTATAAATTATCTTCTGTTGGAAAACGGCAGATTTAAGGCTTTCTGGTCAACTCTTGAAAAATCTTATGTGCATTTTCACACAATATTGTATGATCTCATATGCAGTGCTCTTTGAGCTCAAATGCATGTAAAACTGACTGCACTATAACCTTTAATTGTTTGCTAAAGTAAATTAGCTGCAGTGGCCATCTGGAATTTGATTGACACTAAAATTGAATCAGTTGCAGAAATACATGTGCAACTGCTGCCCCTCCCATACCAACATTTCAATATCTATAAAGTATTTATAACATTTACTGAGTTGTAAACATTTTTGCGTTTGCTGAAGTCATTTGGCTGCAGCTGCCATCTGGGTTAATACCAAAAGTTAACATTTATACTTTTCCCAAACTTTCATCATATAATTACTGAAAGAAAAAAAAATGTAGCAAGAAGCATTACTGGAACACTAACTTATGGGTGTTCTTAATTATGAACCAAAATGTGTCCGTTACTGGTTGTGCTGGGGGCTAATAATAACACTTCCTTCTTATATGAGGCAACTCGTGCACACAGAGTAAAAAAAAAAGCTAAATAATAGTTTTGTGTCTACATTTAAAGGCAGTTTTATTATCTTGAAGCATGTGCTGACTCAAA